CTCTCTCTCTCTCTCTCTCTCTCTCTCTCTCTCTCTCTCTCTCTCTCTCGCTCTCATCTGTGCCATCATACAATAACAGTGCTCTAAAAACCCATTCTCACCATAGCAACCTCAGATGAACATAAAACACTTGATGAACGATATCAGAGGAGGTGGAAAGACTGGACTTACACGTTATGTCACCCTGAGAAATCTGTTCATCAGCACACTGGAGAGAAGCAAGACATCATGGAGTAACTGGCACTCACAGGTAACTTCTGTCTCGTTTCCAGTCAACTCAGTTGGATGGATCTGCAAATTGAAACGCGAATTTCTGGTAATGTGTATTTGTGTGAATGCTAATTTGAATTTACAAGATGCAAGTTGTCTTATGAACTGATAATTGTTTGGGGTACCATTAAAATAGGAAATATGACTCAAATAATTTCACTGTAAATGATACAAAATAGCATCATCTTGATGTATCTATGCATTAGCATGTTTTTAAAAGATATTTTGCCTTGATAAATGGCAAGGCAGGAGCGCGTTAATCCTGAACTCCCACGACATGACAGGCCGTACACGCCTCTAGATCTCCTGTGGCTCATAGCTTGACATGGAACACGCTTTCACACTAAGGAGAACACTTCAACTGTAATCTCTTTTCATCTGTCAGTATGAGTGCACATACTGCACAATGGAATAGTTCACCCAAAAATGAAAATTCTGTCATTATTTTACTCATTCTCGTGTCGTTCCAAATCTGTATGACTTTCTTCCGTTGAACATAAAAGATGATATTTAGAGAAATGTCTTTTTTTGACCCATACAATGGATGTCAATGGTCACCAAAACCAGAACTACAGTACCAACATTCTTCAGAAATCCACAAATTAAAGAAAGTCATACAGGTTTGGAATGAAATTAATTTGTTTTTTGTGTAAACTAATAAAAAACTATAAAACTATAAAAATCCTATAGACTTTTAGAATTTGATTTGATTTAAATTATGCATTCAATTTGCTATCGCAATTCATATTCAGGAATTGAATTTGAAGTTAAAAGGCATTTCTCAATTCATTTCTGCATGGTGCACAACCCTGATGGAAACCTAATGGTAGTATACTCACTCCAAACATTAAAAATGCATTGAATTGTGAAAGCAAAATAAGCATGATAAGTATTGTACAGGATAAGTGAGCGATAATATGGGTGAAAATATTCTATAGACTTACAATGAAATTCTAATAATATCACTAAAATGTTTTCCATGTGACGTTTCTCCTCTATACGACAGACTGCCAGTAAAGTTAATGAAAACCTCTCAAATAGTACAATTGCAGCCACTGTTACCATGACAACTGTGTCTCTAGATGGAATTACAACAGAAAGACAGATCAGAAGAGTCTTTGAAAACACTCACTGAAAGATCAATGTAGAGTTTCTAGAGCCATTGGGACCATGACTTTATAGGTTATGCAACCGCTCCAGTGATTTACACACTCTTAAAATTGATCATACTTTAAATGTAGGTCAGAAACAGTCCAATTTAATGATGCAACCAAACTGGCTGAGAATCTTCTAACTGCTGTAAACTTTTACCACCCCCTGGTGGAATTAGTGTATAGTTATCCAGAAACGAATGTGTTTAACTGTCCATACTCTTTTAGTACAGTATAATCTAACGAGCAATGAAACTAAAAGGAGTACCTTGTAAATCAATTTCCTCCACAGACTATCCTCCTGCCATGGCCCATGCAGGCCCAGAGGTGCACTGGAGGTGGTTGGAGCTCCACGACTCGGTGTCTATGGGGTCTGTGGAGAGGAAGGTCCGGACGGCTGCAGGGACCAGACAGTGGAGGATCCACCGCCGACCCAAACCCAGACACTGCTTTCTGGATGAGCGCAGGCTGCACTACGCTGCTTGGGAGGGATGTCTGGACCAAGTCAAGGCCATGCTGGAACGTGGCGTGCCTGCTAACTGCCAGTTAGTGATCTATAACGTTAACAGAATAGTTCATCCAAAAGGAAGGTCCGGACGGCTGCAGGGACCAGACAGTGGAGGATCCACCGCCGACCCAAACCCAGACACTGCTTTCTGGATGAGCGCAGGCTGCACTACGCTGCTTGGGAGGGATGTCTGGACCAAGTCAAGGCCATGCTGGAACGTGGCGTGCCTGCTAACTGCCAGTTAGTGATCTATATAACCTTAACAGAATAGTTCATCCAAAATAATTGTCATTATTTTCATGTAATTCCAAGTGATGCAATTTTTCAGGTGAACTTCATGTTTAATCTGGTAAAGGGATCATATTGCACATTTTTGAATAATCTGATTTTGTTGCGTACATTGTGTCACATGATAAAGCGACAAATAATAAAAGCTAAGTTTTTTCTCTCATATAGAGTGCAGAAGTGCCTGTCCACTTTTGCAGCAGCCTTGGTTCTGAAAGTTTTTTTTTTTTTTTCATTCATTCACATACATATCCAAATATTTAAGTAGTTTGAGTGTGGAGGAAGACTGGATTGCGTTATTCTTCCCATTACTTTATGAGAGTTTTTTTTGAGAGCGGGCATTTTTGGTGAGATTTGCTTGTTTTGATTCTCTGATTGGTGGAGATTTCTCTGCAGAATCATGGTTAATGTAAGTTTCTCACCAGATGTCCTGCAGTTAAACACTATTACTTAATAAAATATACAGTAAATGCAAGCTGGATGATTCAACAAAAGCATATACCATCAATTATAAACCTTGTAGCTCGTCTTCTTTAACGGTTTAGAAGTTATCATTAAACTATGTTTAAAGCCTAAAATAAATATGTTCATCATATAAAGAGATAGTATCCCATCACAAAACGTGAATCGGTTTAGCTCAATTCATATGGATTTATTTTAAAATACCTTTATTATCTTTATTACCATACTGGATAATATGGGGTTAGAAGATTAACCAAAGTTTTATGGGTTTGAAATGACATGATGCTGAGTAAATGATGGCAAAATTTTCATATTTTGGTCAACTATGAATTAAGAGAAAATATTTTAACTTTTAAAAAAATTATACTTTAATTACTTTTTTGTCAACAGTATTTTTTGCTATAATGTTATTTCACACTTTCCATGATATGTCCCTTTGAAATAAATATTATTACAGTGTCACACATGTTAGTAACAAAAGGTTCCAGTGTAAAATAGTAGTCTAATACCATGAAAAAATTTGTTGTGCTATTCCCAAAATAAATATATAGTCATTTTTTTCGCTGACTGGGCCATTTTGTGCTTCCAGGGACCCGTATGGTTGGACAGCTGTCCACCACGCCTCTTTCAAGGGTCATCTCATGCTGATCAAGTTCCTGTTGCAAACCGGCCAGGTGGAGGTAAATAGCCAGGACTTCTTCAACTGCACTCCCCTGCACCGCTCCTGCAGTGGAGGAAACCCTGAGACCACACACGTTCTCCTCCAGAAGGGGGCGTCACATTCAGCGAGGTCCTGCTCCGGCCAGACGCCCCTTCACCTGGCTGCAGCCAGCGGTCACCTGGGCACGGCTCGAGTTCTGCTCCAGCACTTGGCCTCACCGAACCCCCAGGACTTTCATAAGTGGACACCCCTGCACTGGGCAGTTTTTGGAGGCTGGGGCGACGTGGCGGAGCTCTTGCTAGATAATGGAGCAGACGTGGAGGGAGGAAAGGGTGTGGGTGTTCATCATATAAAGAGATAGTATCCCATCACAAAACGTGAATCAGTTTAGCTCAATTCATATGGATTTATTTTAAAATACCTTTATTATCTTTATTACCATACTGGATAATATGGGGTTAGAAGATTAACCAAAGTTTTATGGGTTTGAAATGACATGATGCTGAGTAAATGATGGCAAAATTTTCATATTTTGGTCAACTATGAATTAAGAGAAAATATTTTAACTTTTAAAAAAATTATACTTTAATTACTTTTTTGTCAACAGTATTTTTTGCTATAATGTTATTTCACACTTTCCATGATATGTCCCTTTGAAATAAATATTATTACAGTGTCACACATGTTAGTAACAAAAGGTTCCAGTGTAAAATAGTAGTCTAATACCATGAAAAAATTTGTTGTGCTATTCCCAAAATAAATATATAGTCATTTTTTTCGCTGACTGGGCCATTTTGTGCTTCCAGGGACCCGTATGGTTGGACAGCTGTCCACCACGCCTCTTTCAAGGGTCATCTCATGCTGATCAAGTTCCTGTTGCAAACCGGCCAGGTGGAGGTAAATAGCCAGGACTTCTGCAACTGCACTCCCCTGCACCGCTCCTGCAGTGGAGGAAACCCTGAGACCACACACGTTCTCCTCCAGAAGGGGGCGTCACATTCAGCAAGGTCCTGCTCCGGCCAGACGCCCCTTCACCTGGCTGCAGCCAGCGGGCACCTGGGCACAGCTCGGGTTCTGCTGCAGCACTTGGCCTCACCGAACCCCCAGGACTTTCATAAGTGGACACCCCTGCACTGGGCAGTTTTTGGAGGCTGGGGCGACGTGGCGGAGCTCTTGCTAGATAATGGAGCAGACGTGGAGGGAGGAAAGGGTGTGGGCATGAGCCCCCTACAGCTGGCAGTGTTGGTGGGGAATGAGGTGGGGGTGAGGCTACTGCTCCACCGAGGTGCAGATGCCAATATGAGGGGTCCTAACGGCCGCACAGCCATGCACCTTTGTGCCTGCTCTGGAGACAAGAAGGTGACTGAAGGAATAGTTCACTCAAAAATGAAAATAATTCCATAATTTACTCACCCTCAAGCCATCCTGTGTGTATATTCCTTTCTTCTTTCAGACAAACACAATTTGAGTTAAATAATATCCTGGCTCTTTCCAGCTATGTAATGGCAGTGAATGGTGCCTGAGTTTTTGAAGCTCCAAAAAGTGCATCCATCCATCATAAAAGTAATCCATAGTGGGTTAATGAAATCCATCATACATCGTAACTCGACTCTCTTGTGAATGCACAAACAGGAAGTAACTACACTCTAAAAAATGCGGGGTGTAAAACAACCTAACTTGGGTTATTTTTGGCAACCCAGCTGGTTGGGTTGATGTTTTTACCAACCTGCTGGGTTGTTTTATTTAAGTTAAAAAATTATTATATTGCTGCCTTAAAATGGGCTGGAAATTTAAAAAAAAATCACACACAGAATTACTAGAGGCAACAGCAATAATCAAAAGATGAACATTTATTATTAAGCAAGAACACATGGACAAAATACAAGACAAATTTAATTTATACAGGTGAATACAGCATAGTTTACAATATTACATACATTTAAACTCATTCAACAAGCATTTTTTAAATAAAAAATGTAACATTTAAAAGTAGCATTTTAATTTAAGCGTATTCAACCGTACTCTGTAATCGATTTTTACTGAAATGGCACTAATTCTCGTGCCGGTGTGTCGCCGAAATCTGAGCCGGTGAAGGGCTGCTGTTTGCGGGGGAACTGCTAACCTCAGACCGCTGCCTCACGTTTCACTCGTAGCTGTAGGATGCCGTGACTGACTGATAACCTGCCCATAAACAAACAGTACTGAGATTAGAGAACATATTTTTACCATCAAATTAAATTAAACTATATTAAATATAATTTATGTTATGCAAGGCAAAAGACGTTCATGCGAAACGACGACCGCTGCTGACGCAGCTAACTGACCTTATGTCTCGTCCTTATGTTGTGTTGCGTAAAATAATATAATTTACAGCACAGTAAAGACTTCATAAATAAAATAAAAGGTATACAAACCCTTATTTCGCTAAAGAAGTGCACCAAATCGGCGGCGGCAGCGCTGAGAACTGCTCTCTCCTGTAGTGGACACAAAAAGCCCGCACTCTGAACAACTCAGCAGCTGGGTTATTTCATCGGAGACAGGCTTAACCCAGCGGTTGGGTAGAAAAAAATAACCCAGCATTAAAAATGACCCAGCAACTTAGTTATAGAAAAACTACCCAGTACCTAGGTAAAACATATTAAAAATGACCCAACAAGCTGAACCCAGCATTTGGGTTAAAAAAAAATAACCCAGCACCTGTGTAAAAATATTAAAAACAACCCAATAAAATTACCCAACATGCTGAACCCAGTATTTGGGTTAAAAAAAAAATAACCCAGCATTTTTTAGAGTGTATACAAACCTTTATTTCGCTGAAAAAGGTTTGTATACACCAAATCGGTATTAATAAATATAATTTATGTTATGCAAGGCAAAAGACGTTCATGCGAAACGACGACCACTGCTGACGCAGCTAACTGACCTTATGTCTCGTCCTTATGATGTGTTGCATAAAATAATATAATTTACAGCACAGTAAAGACTTCATAAATAAAATAAAAGGTATATAAACCCTTATTTCGCTAAAGAAGTGCACCAAATCGGCAGCGCTGTGAACCGCTCTCTCCCGTATAAGACACAAAAAGCCCGCATACTGACTGTAACTCAGCAGCTGGGTTGTTTTGTCAGAGACAGGCTTAACCCAGCAGTTGAGTAGAAAAAAAAACCAGCATTAAAAATGACCCAGCAACTTAGTTACAGAAAAACTACCCAGCACCTGGGTAAATAATATTAAAAATAACCCAATAAAATGACCCAACAAGCTGAACCCAGGATTTGGGTTAAATAAAAAAAAAAGCACCTGGGTAAAAATATTAAAAACAACCCAATAAAATGACCCAACAGGCAGAACCCATGGGTTAAAAAAAAATAACCCAGCATTTTTTTTTTTAGAGTGTAGTGATAATGGTTTCTAAAATTTTAAATATCTATTTTTTTTTATTTTTTTTACAAAAACCCATCACTTCGCATCAGAAGGCATTCACCTTTGAGTCAATTATTAACTACTACTAACTACTAACCTACTGCGTTAGGCTAACCGAGACTTGTCATTTGCACATACATATTGTTGCTCTTTTGTTAGTTTTGATTGCTTCTATTGTCCTCATTTGTAAGTCGCTTTGGATAAAAGCGTCTGCTAAATGACTAAATGTAAATTATGAGCTACTTTTTCAATTAAATATTACAACTGTTTTTAATTTAATGTAGAATATTTACAGAAACATACAATTACTGTTGCCCATAACACTGATGGGCAAAACATCACATCTACCCAAGGCGTTGGCTTTAAAAACTACCGAGACTGTGTAAATGAAGTTTGTGGCTAGAACATTGGCTACTGAGATGCTATATTACATGAGGCTTGATGACACATAAAATGATACATAAAATTGGCAGTATAACATGGTTAGTTACTTTATACCAGGAGTGATTAAATAATGTTATGCTATCCAATGCTATCCAGCACTGATCATGTGATCACTTAGTCTCTTATAAATGTTCTCTCTAAAAAAAATCTGCATACATGAAGTGTCCTATAAACACCTCAATGCATTTGTTTCCAATCAACCCTATTACCGCAGCATAGCTTGCATTTGCCAAGACTGAATTCAAGGTCTCGCTGCCCTTTTGGCTGTGTTCTGTCAGAGTCACGCCAATTGCGTGCTGTGAAACAGATGGCATTTGTGTGGGTGAAGGGCAGTGTTCTGTCCCTGTCTCCTTAGCACCATTTGATCTTTCTTTTACTCTCTACTTTTCATCTGTCCCATCTAAACCGTATCTTCTCCTTCCTCATAGATCCTCCAGCAGCTGTTAACAGGAGGGGCTAAGGTTGATGTCAGGGATGGAGATGTGGCGTCTCCGCTGCATCTGGCTGCCCGCAGTGGCTCCAGGGCTGTGGTGCACTTGTTGATTCTGAATGGAGCAGGACTTGAGGACAGGGACAACCTCAAAATGACACCACTGCACTACTCGACACTCAGGGACAATGTTGAGGCTGCCAAACTGTTGCTGCACTATGGGGCAGATGTGAATGCTGTGGAGAGGCTCGGACAGACACCTTTGCACTTGGCCTCTGAGAGGGGTCACTGCAAGGTGTGTTGATTCTCTCTCATTTTTAAGTTCATACTCTACCAATCAAAAGTTTGGAATAATTTAGATTTTTTTAAGTATTTGAAATAAGCCTCTTATGCTCACCAAGGCTACATTTAATATATTTTATATTTATATACAGTAAAAACTGTAGACCATTAAACCATTGAGATGATCTCATCTGTGATTTTGCTTTCCTATGGGAAAATGTAGGAAGTAAATGTTTACCTGTTTCTTTCCTTTCTCGCTACACTTGTGATTCAATCCACAGGTCCTCAAGGTTCTGCTAGACAAAGGGGCTGATCCCGCTATAAGGAGCAGCTGGAGAGAAACAGCGGAGGACGTTGCAAGGGCACACGATCAGCTAGGTGTAGTCCAGCTCCTTCTGCAACACCAGGCGGTCAGGATGAGAGATCAAGCTCAGGACAGTGTGGAGAAAGAGAAGAAATAACAGTGAATTAAGGCCTGTTCACACTGAGGATTAAAATGATAACTATAACATTTAATTAATCATTCTAATTCTAACTATAATGACATTGATGAAAAATGTCTTTCAAAATGAATTCCTTTCCAGCTGATGGATGATAAAAACATTGACAACCAATCAAAATCCAACTGACTTTAAAGGGCTCAAGTTGTTGCTATAGTTATCTTTATAGTTACCGTCTTGGAAAGGAAAGGAAAGGAAAGGATGTGACGTGTGGCCAAGTATGGTGTCCCATACTTGGAATTTGTGCTCTGAATTTAACCCATCCAAGTGCACACACACAGCAGTGAGTAGTGAACAAACACACACACACCATGAACACACACCCGGGTGTGAACGGGCCTTAACAGTTTGAGTCCACTGATTTGATTGGACAAGTCACATTCCAAGAATATTTATATTATGGGTATGATCACATTTACCATTGTTTGGCAAATGTAATAGGAATTCATGTAACTGAGAATTTTTTTTGAGGGCAAAAGATTGCAGATTTTGCTCGGGTTCAAGTTGGTCACACAAATTTACTGCACTGATCAACAGAAAGCTCCTTGGTTTGAACGTGACTTCTGTGAGAGCTGTATATACCATAATTATGACTAGGGCCATTGCTACAAATCATGGGAATTTGTTTATTTTTTTTTGATGGTGGTGGATAAATCCTCTGGTAATAACTCTAGTGCCTATAGTATATTGTTGTAAAGTGTGTTATATTTTTAAGGGTCTATATGGAATAAAATCACCTTCAACATTCAGACACTGGGGTGACAATTTCTAATAAAACAGGTGAAGCATTAAAGGAAATTCTAAAGGAAAGGAAAGGAAATTATGAAGTGTGGCCAAGTATGGTGTCCCATACTCAGAATTTGTGCTCTGCATTTCACCCATCCAAGTGCGCACACACAGCAGTGAGTAGTGAACAAACACACACACACCATGAACACACACCCACAGTGGGCAGCCATTATTTTTGTTTTACATGCAAACAAAGTTAAAGGAGATAAATAACAGCCAGTGCTGGGAAGGTTACTTTAGAAATGTAATAGGTTACAGATTACAAGTTACCATATTTAAAATGTAATAAGTAGTGTAACAATTTCAGTTACTTTTTAATGAAACTGAATACACGTGATTACTTTTTAATTACTTTTCTAAATTTCTAACGAATGTTTTCAACTGTTAATCATTTTGAAACATTTAAAGCAGGCAGGGTTAACCTTACAGTAGCACTCAACACTGCACTCTGGGTTAAATGTTCATTTATCGAACATATTTATTGACTTTCCAACCTATTTTGGGTGCATTTTACGCAAGAAATAATAATATTTAAGCAACAGTAAACTACTCAGAAGGTTGGGTTAAACATTTAACCCAACCGCTGGGTCAAAACAACCTAATCACTGTTTGTCCATATTTCACCCAGCTCTGGGTTGTTTTTAACCCAGCATTTTTAGAGTGTAATTTCTTCTCAAAATCCTTCATCACTTGAATTAAGATTATAAAAATTTAATTTTAAAGCACATCCACCACAAAATCAGACATTAACACCTCTTTTTACTTTGAGATCATTCAGAGTTACAGATTTACAGTCATATGAAGATATAGTTTGATAGCTATGATATTTTATGAAAATCAAATCTTTGCACAGCTATGACCGAAAACACTGTCATCTAACAGTGCTTTGGAAAAAACAGTTAATCTTAAAAAATAAAGCATATACATAAATCCAGATTGGAAATACAACAGGTAACAAACAAATGTGTCCTATTCTGTATCCTAAACTCCTGAAATATATTTTAGAGCAGTCAATGCAATCTAGGAAGAAATCAATCAAATCTGTATGTGTGTGAAAATATTCAGGTGTAAACCCCTTTGCAGTCGTTAACATTTTCATAAGTAAGAGTAATTTAATTATACATTTTTTCTCAGTAACAGATTACAGTTACATTTATTTTGTAATTAAATCATGTAATTCCGTTACATGTAACTAGTTACTCCCCATCACTGAACCTCTCATATTCTCCCAAAGAAAATCTGATTGCACTGATGAAAAATATATTAGCAAAGTTACTTCCTCAGTTTTATGGAATACAAAATTGGAAACTTTGGCTTTTGGGTTCTAGCTGGGTAGATATTATGTAGGCTATCTTACTTATTTTATTTTGTTAGAAATGCAGTATATATTTCCAGGGAGTAACCATGCTTTTTTTAGTAAATACTGTCAAAAATTGTTCCAGTAAAATTTATATCTAGGGGATCGTTCATATCAGTTCAGTCAGTTAAAGGCAGAGTAAGTGATTTTTCAAAAACGCTTTAAAAACGGATTCGGGCCGAATCGCAAAACAAACTTGTAGCCAATCAGCAATAAGGGGCGTGTCTACTCATGATGTGGAGGAGAGCGCGTTCAGTGCATGGGACGGACATTAGCCGAGCCGAGCGACAGAAAGATAGAGATGGCGGATAAAAAACAAAAGAGGAAAACGTCTGCGGAACGATAAGGCAAGAAGGATTACGGAGGAAAATCTCTCCCCGCCCCCGTCTATGCAGGATGGCCTCGACCTGTACACCGAGACAGACCTGCGGATCCTGGGCTGCGAGCTCATCCAGTCCGCCGGAATCCTGCTGCGACTGCCGCAGGTAAATATTCGGTTTGTCTAACTAACGTTACTTAAACGATTAATGAAGTGAAGCTGTGAAATTATGCTAGCTTGAAATAAACCATTGATGTGAAGCAATTTTGATGTGACATTATCAAACAAGAATCCATAACCCAACAAAACACACCAAACGTTTCAAAGGACTAACAGTTAGACACACCCGCCCCCCAAATAAATTAGATATAAACTTAGTTTATACAATGTGTGTAATCTAGAGATAAATCTCAGTGGTTTTGAACGTCTTTCGCGAGCGGTGTCCATCGGCTAGACAAAAACAAAATGGCGGACGTTGCTTTTGAAACGAAACAGGGCCGTTTACGTTATATTAAATTTTCTTTAATCGTAATTATGTTTCAGGTGGCCATGGCGACCGGACAAGTGCTTTTTCATCGATTCTTCTACTCGAAGTCTTTCGTGAAACACAGTTTTGAGGTAAGAGAATAAAGCCGTATTTACAAGCATGCGGATGGCAGCCATGTTGTTTGAGTGTAAATGACGTTCAACCAGATTATAGCTCAATGGTGTGATAAAAAAATATTATTCTTTAAATGTTGTCGTCATAATAGGATAATTATGATGGGCGTTTTTTCAAATACCAGCATGCCTACCAATCATACCAACTGCCTAACTAGACAGCATTTTTGGGCATTATAGGCGTGTTAGAACGGATTACTGTTTAGTTAGTCCGCGCACTACGTTGGCGTTGTGTGTGTGTATGTACATATACATACACACACACATATATATGTATATATAGCTCTCGTTATAATTATCCTATTAGGATTGTACAGTTGTAGATATATATTTTTATTTTTTCCATTGGCAGATGCAAATTAAATGCATGTTACACAAACATTTGCTCAATTTAACTATTTATCGTCAGAAAATGGTATTATCTGCTAACAAGTTGACAAACTAATGTATGCTGTGTGTTTTGTAATAGTGTTTTGACCGCTCTTTCTGTCATCTGTTCTCTCTCTAGATTGCTGCCATGGCCTGTGTTAACTTGGCTTCAAAGATCGAAGAAGCCCCTCGACGAATTAGGGACGTCATCAACGTGTTTCATCATTTAAGGCAGCTCCGAGGCAAAAGGTAAGCTTGGCTCATTCTCGCAGAGTTTCTGTCACACGTTTTCTCTTTTCGTTACCTGTGCCAGCAACCTCCCACCTTAACTGATTTATTTTTCTTTGGATAACATTTAATGTCATCACCTCAAACTGTAAATGATTCAGGTATACTTAAACATGTTAACTGTGAGTAGTCTGTGCACTTCTGTTTGTCATTGATATGATGTCTTGATTTTGTTTGCTTTATTCTAAACCATTTTAAAGCTTTTCAGTTCCTTCATCAGTCATAATTGGTAGTAACAGCAGGATATTCTGATTACCTGAGCAAGTAAAAAAAAACATTCAAACGGCTCAAAATTTTTTATCTTTTTCAAGGGAATATGATGCCAATTGGGCTATATTGTGGCTAATTACTTTCTAGTCTAAATTTAATTCCAGAATGAATTAGAAAACAATTTAAAGAGGATGAAAAGGAAAATTTGTTCATCTGAAATCAAGGACGCGGTATTAACTTGAATTCTTTTTTCCCTTGCAACCAACTAACAGCGACCAGCTACATTTACCAATGCCTGGGTGATGTGGAAATGGTACGTAGAGATGAAGCAGTCGGCATGGCAACAGTGAGCGAGGTGTCGCTTCCCCCCCTCCCCCGGGAGAAGCCAGTGGTCTGAAAGCGGTCACTGGGATATCGGGGATCGACAGGTTGGCCGCTGGTCCGAAGCGTCTGGGTGACTCCTGTATCTCAGTTTAAGCTTATTGTCTCTGCCAGCACAGGTGACAATCTTTTAATTTTCATTTCATTTTTAAAAAAGACACCTCCCCACACGTCATAGCTTCCACAGAAATATTTCACGCTGCACATGCAAGATTAAAATCTCTTAAATATTCACATGATGGGAGCTGTGAGGGTTGCATACTGAGAATGTGCTGTTTTTTGTGTAATAATGTAAGCATGGTTTAGATTGGGTGTCTTAGACAATTTATTGTCCAAAATTCACAATTAAATGTTTCGTTATACGTAGAACAGTCATGAAATGTCATTGGCATTGAGTTTTTTTGTGTGCGTTTACTCTTAAAAATGACTAACCAAGTTGTTTAGTGTAGATGATTTAGATGTTTTATGATTATGAATTTAGATGTAATTGTGTGAACCCATTAAACCAAAGAGATTGTATTTGTGCTTTATGATATATTCATGCACTTGTGGATGGGTGCAGTGAAAAAAAATTTTTTTAATTGGTTAAAGCAGAAGAGAGAAATATTTAAGTTCT